CTCTGAGTGCCTTCTCCACTGGATCCAGTGTGCCTCGGAACAGGTCTGAACAAAGTTCTTCAAACCTGGCGCGGGTGATGGATGTGTAGAAGTCGATACCTTCGAAGAGTGAGTCGATCTCCACACTGGCCTGGGTGGAGGACGAGAGAGTTCGCTTGGCTCTCTCGCAGGCAGTTCTCAGGCGACGAACAGCTCGCTTGTTAGCACTCATGTCCTTCTTGAATTTTCGTTGGAATTCTTGTTTAAAATGGTTCACCATTCTGTTGTCGAAGTCTTCGCCACCCAAGTGGGTGTCTCCGGCAGTAGACTTCACCTCGAACACACCTTCGTCAATACTGAGGATGGACACATCGAAGGTTCCGCCGCCAAGGTCGAAGATCAACACATTACGTTCGCCTCTGCCGCCCACTTTTTTGTCAAGTCCGTAAGCGATGGCAGCAGCAGTTGGTTCGTTGATGATCCTGAGTACGTTGACGCCGGCGATGGCCCCAGCATCCTTGGTGGCTTGGCGTTGGGAGTCGTTGAAGTAGGCGGGCACGGTGATGACGGCGTCCCTCACACTGTGACCCAGGAAGGCCTCTGCAGTCTCCTTCATCTTGGTCAACACCATAGAGGAGATCTCCTCGGGGTTAAACGTCTTATTCTCGCCCTTATACTCCACCTTCACTTTGGGTTTTCCAGCTTCGTTCACCACAGTGAAGGGCCAGTGTTTCATGTCACTCTGCACGGCTGGGTCCTCGAACTTGCGTCCGATGAGTCGCTTGGCGTCAAACACAGTGTTGTTGGGATTCATGGCCACCTGCAACGTCAACACCCACTGGTTAGTGTCAAGTGTATCACTCTCTTAAGTGATGTCGTCAAGTTATAAACAACAAATAGCCACTAGTAGGTAGGTATAAGTGTGATGGTAAAAAGTATAAAAGTGTGTTAAGTGACCTGGTTCTTGGCGGCGTCGCCGATGAGTCTCTCTGTGTCGGTGAAGGCGACATAGGAGGGCGTGGTCCTGTTGCCCTGGTCGTTGGCGATGATCTCTACCTTGCCGTGCTGGAACACTCCCACACAGGAGTAGGTCGTGCCCAGGTCGATGCCGATAGCTGGAGCTGCCATGCTGCCGGGAGATTCACTCTTAGTGAAGGACAATGATGTAAGTTTTATCACCGAGTTGTTGCTGCTAAAGTCAACACCTTCCTGATGCACTGATAAGACTTAAGACATTTTAGTTCATTACTGTTGTGTCATCGTGGAGTAACGCTATACACACCACCTTCCTGAATAGTATAAAGCTTAAAAAACATGTGATATAATACTGAGTAAAGTAGAGTGTTTCTCAAACTCCTGGGATGACAACTTTGTGATATATGAATTAGGAAACAGTCCCCGTGTAGACAATGATAGATAGTTACCTTAGTGTTGTGTATTTGCAGTTATAAAGGGAGGCAGATGGTAGTAAGTGTTCCGTCCAACAATAGCTGTTCACTCTTCACTCTCCACCCTAGTTGTGGCGGCAGGTGGCGCGGCTCGCTCAATATATTGGCACAGTTTCTCCTGAACTTGCTAGAACCTTCGTCAGATGCCAGTGGTGAGCGCGCCGCAAGAAGGTGACGTCACGTACGGCTGAGGCGACTATTGGTCGGTGAGTGTCAGTAGGCGGGCAATGGTTGAGGCGGTGGTACTCTGGTAACTTCCAGTGGTCCTGGGTGTTCCGTAAATACCTTTCATAAATCGGGTGGTGTATTCCTGAGACTTAAATAAACATAAATAACTAAATTACCAAATTGTCAATAGTTTCAGAGTAGCAGCACAGGACAGGTTTGGTAATAATGTGATGAAACCTACAGTCACCCGACATAAATCCCCGTGATTTCTACCTGTGGGATCAAATAAAAAGCAAGATGTATGTTCCAGAGTTCCCAAACCGTGAGGAATTGTGGCGTCGTGTACAGGACAGTGTGCAACACCCCTGGGGTCTTTGAACAGAGGTGTCTAAGATGTATGGTGCCACGCCCACAATGAGATGTATGGTGCCACGCCCACTATGAGATGTATGGTGCCATGCCCACAATGAGATATATGGTGCCACGCCCACTATGAGATGTATGGTGCCACGCCCACAATGAGATATATGGTGCCATGCCCACAATGAGATATATGGTGCCACGCCCACTATGAGATGTATGGTGCCACGCCCACTATGAGATGTATGGTGCCATGCCCACAATGAGATATATGGTGCCATGTGCCACTATGAGATGTATGCTATGCCATTATGAGATGTATGGTGCCACGCCCACTATAGGATGTATGGTGCCACGCCCACTATGGGATGTATGGTGCCACGCCCACTATGAGATGTGTGGTGCCACGCCCACTATGAGATGTATGGTGCCACGCCCACAATGAGATATATGGTGCCACGCCCACTATGAGATGTATGGTGCCACGCCCACTATGAGATGTATGGTGCCACGCCCACTATAGGATGTATGGTGCCACGCCCACTATGGGATGTATGGTGCCACGCCATTAGAGATGTGCGGTGCCACGCCCACTATGAGATGTATGGTGCCACGCCCACTATGAGATGTATGGTGCCACGCCCACTATGGGATGTATGGTGCCACGCCCACTATGGGATGTATGGTGCCACGCCCACTATGGGATGTATGGTGCCACGCCCACTATGGGGATGTATGGTGCCACGCCCACTATGATGTATGGTGCCACGCCCATAGATGTATGGTGCCACACCCACTATGGAATGCGGTGCCACGCCCACTATGAGATGTATGGTGCCACGCCCACTATGGGATGTATGGTGCCACGCCCACTATGGGATGTATGGTGCCACGCCCACGCGAGATGGTGCCACGCCCACTATGGGATGTATGGTGCCACGCCCACTAGTGGGATGTATGGTGCCACGCCCACTATGGGATGTGCATGGTGCCACGCCCACACGCCCACTATGGGATGTGGTACCACGCCCACTATGGGATGTAGCGGTGCCACGCCCACTATGAGATGTATGGTGCCACGCCCACTATGGGATGTATGGTGCCACGCCCACTATGAGATGTATGGTGCCACGCCCACTATGAGATGTATGGTGCCACGCCCACTATGGGATGTATGGTGCCACGCCCACTATGAGATGTATGGTGCCACGCCCACTATGAGATGTATGTAGCAGGTGGGTGTAGTTATGGTGTAAGACAACTCATCAAATATTTGTAAATTAACGTCAAGATCCTGTAAAAATTATTCAACATTTACAAATTCAACTGGTGTGATTCATATGTAACTCACCATTAAATATAGCGGCTCCCTCTATCCGTGTAGTCGCTTACAGTTAAAAACAAGATAGAATTTGGCAAGATTATACATGTTAAAAAAAATACCACGCACACGACCGCGAAAACCATTCATTTTTCCACCACAGTGAGTCAACCAGGTGAATCAAGCCAATCCTAACCTAGCAAAACTATTACATGATCTATATCTTAGGTTACGATTGGATAGGGTCAGGTCGTTTGTTTAAAAAAAAACGAAAATTAGTCTATTATTAATGTTTGTGTTATTTTCTAACATTGGTTATAAAGCCGGAAATCGTGGCAGTGTTTAGGGTTGAGGCGGATGAAAATCTTGGGTGTAAACATACGGTGATGAAGAGAGGTGGGAGGGAGGGACGGGGTGACAAAGGGGGAGGACTAAAGGAAGGAAGGAAGGAGGGAGGAAGAGAGAGAGAGAGGAAGTAGGGAGGAAGAGAGAGAGGATGAGGAAGAGGGAGAGGGGGAGGGGAGAGGAGGAGGGGAACGAGAGGGGGAGGGGAGAGAGAGAATCAGCTGACAGGATAGGAGTAACGCCCACCCACACACACACACACACTCACACGCTGCGACTAACTTAACCTCACGTGGATATTTGCCAAAGTAGAGTGTTCCCGTGTTTTAGTGGGAGGATGGTGGTGGTAGTGGACAGGTGTGAGTGAGGTGGTGGTGGTGGTGGAACGGGGCGGGGATAGTCGGGGCGGGGGTGGTAGTGGTGATGGTGGTGGTAGGGGGCGGGGGTGGTGGTGGAAGGGGGCGTGGTGGGCGGCAAGTGTGAGGTAGTGGTGGGCGGTGTTAGGTAGGAGGAAGATGAAAGGTGATGACAAGGACGAAAATGCGCAAAGAGGACAATTGTACACACACACAGACACACACACACATACACAATACTTGATCAAACATTAACACACAAAACTTGATCAAACACACATTGCAAACTTCTGGATCAAACTCGGCCACAATGATCAAGGTTTATGAGACAATAATCTTATGGAGGATTGTAGTGGTGTGGATAAGAGAGGGTTACATTGTTGTTGCCCGTTGTTGTTGGTGGTGGTGGTGGTGATGTTGTTGTTGTTGTTGATGTTATTGTTGGTGGTGGTGGTGGTGATGTTGTTGTTGTTGTTGATGTTATTGTTAATGTTCAGTATTGTTGTTGTTATTGCTGCCCATCGTTGTTGTTGTTGTTGTTGTTGTTCAGTGTTGTTGTTATTGCTGCCCATCGTTGTTGTTGTTGTTGTTGTTGTTCAGTGTTGTTGTTATTGCTGCCCATCGTTGTTGTTGTTGTTGTTGTTCAGTAAGGATGTTGTGCAGGTAATTCTGATCCCCGGGTAAAGTTCACCAGTGTTATAAGTACGTGTAGATTACGAGGCGGTGGTTCATGACTGTTAGTTCCTCACACACACACAGACACAGACACACACACACACACACACACACACACACTGAAGGACGAGACAAGTTCTCGACCCCTGGAGTGTGAGAGGGGCAGAGGTACACTATTATTAACTCCTGGTTCCTGTATATTACTTCTCTACCTACTTGGCGGTCGTTCACCAATCCTCTTCTCATCTCTCACTGACGTCATCATGAGCTGGCACCCAGGTTCACGGTGCCTGGCGAAAGTTCTGGCACCTTCTGCAGGCATAGACTGTATATATATACAGAGAAGCCGGAGTCAAGTGCCATCATTCCTTAAGTGAAGTGCGAACAGTGCGGAAGGTGGACTATAGCCTCCTGCCAGCCTCTCACAATATATACGAAGAGTTCAACAACCATAAGGTGAGGATAAAACCTATATTGCTGCACTATGCCTTTGTTATTAAGTACTGTAAACTGCAGTAAATAAATTAATAGCAGGTGTTCTACCTCAGTGTATACAAACAAATTCAAGACAGTGGTTATCATTAGTGACCTTCAGTTCGTGAAACATTAAAACAGTCGACAGGTCATACGAATCAACAGGTATTTATTAAGCTAACATTGGAGGTACAGAGATGTAAATTGGTTAAGTTGTTGTCTTCTTGGCAAGTTAATGTGTTCCACTTTACCTGACCAACATGACTGTTATTGTGCTGGACAACAGTAAGGTAATAAACTAAAGTTATCCATGGAGTAGATTACCCAGAGAATCTTGTATTGTATCTAATCACAATCCTTGTAGTAGTGTGTTAATGTTAGGTCACCAGACGGGAGGTAGTGTACCAGCATGATGCTGCTCAAGCACACCAGAGTAGACAACACCACCTGGGATATACTGTAAAGTCGTCTAGAGAAATTACATTTTTTCAGGTGGCTGAGAATTTATTTGTCGTACACGCAAAGATAACTTAACTTTGGTATTAACAGTTATTTTTTTAAATTTTTGAACAACGTTCCACAGAACATTGATCTTCTCAGCAAACATAAATTATTTATTATAATATTAGTGTTGTCCCTCACTAAGAGTGAATCTCCCGGCAGCATGGCAGCTCCAGCTATCGGCATCGACCTGGGCACGACCTACTCCTGTGTGGGAGTGTTCCAGCACGGCAAGGTAGAGATCATCGCCAACGACCAGGGCAACAGGACCACGCCCTCCTATGTCGCCTTCACCGACACAGAGAGACTCATCGGCGACGCCGCCAAGAACCAGGTCACTTAACACACTTTTATACTTTTTACCATCACACTTATACCTACCTACTAGTGGCTATTTGTTGTTTATAACTTGACGACATCACTTAATAGAGTGATACACTTGACACTAACCAGTGGGTGTTGACGTTGCAGGTGGCCATGAATCCCAACAACACTGTGTTTGACGCCAAGCGACTCATCGGACGCAAGTTCGAGGACCCAGCCGTGCAGAGTGACATGAAACACTGGCCCTTCACTGTGGTGAACGAAGCTGGAAAACCCAAAGTGAAGGTGGAGTATAAGGGCGAGAATAAGACGTTTAACCCCGAGGAGATCTCCTCTATGGTGTTGACCAAGATGAAGGAGACTGCAGAGGCCTTCCTGGGTCACAGTGTGAGGGACGCCGTCATCACCGTGCCCGCCTACTTCAACGACTCCCAACGCCAAGCCACCAAGGATGCTGGGGCCATCGCCGGCGTCAACGTACTCAGGATCATCAACGAACCAACTGCTGCTGCCATCGCTTACGGACTTGACAAAAAAGTGGGCGGCAGAGGCGAACGTAATGTGTTGATCTTCGACCTTGGCGGCGGAACCTTCGATGTGTCCATCCTCAGTATTGACGAAGGTGTGTTCGAGGTGAAGTCTACTGCCGGAGACACCCACTTGGGTGGCGAAGACTTCGACAACAGAATGGTGAACCATTTTAAACAAGAATTCCAACGAAAATACAAGAAGGACATGAGTGCTAACAAGCGAGCTGTTCGTCGCCTGAGAACTGCCTGCGAGAGAGCCAAGCGAACTCTCTCGTCCTCCACCCAGGCCAGTGTGGAGATCGACTCACTCTTCGAAGGTATCGACTTCTACACATCCATCACCCGCGCCAGGTTTGAAGAACTTTGTTCAGACCTGTTCCGAGGCACACTGGATCCAGTGGAGAAGGCACTCAGAGACGCTAAGATGGACAAAGCCTCCATCCATGAACTGGTGCTGGTCGGTGGGTCGACTCGCATCCCCAAGATCCAGAAGTTGCTGCAGGATTTATTCAATGGCAAGGAACTCAACAAGTCGATCAACCCAGACGAGGCGGTGGCCTACGGTGCTGCTGTGCAGGCCGCCATCCTGCACGGTGACCAGTCTGAGGGTGTGAAGGATGTCCTCCTTCTGGATGTGGCGCCTCTCTCACTCGGTATAGAGACAGCGGGCGGGGTGATGACGGCTCTCATCAAACGCAACACCACCATCCCCACCAAACAACAACAAGTGTTCACCACCTATTCTGATAACCAGCCAGGTGTGCTCATCCAGGTGTACGAGGGCGAGCGCACCATGACCAAAGATAACAACCTTCTGGGCAAGTTTGAGTTGAGTGGCATCCCTCCCGCACCTCGAGGAGTGCCGCAGATCGAGGTCACCTTCGACATCGACGCTAACGGCATCCTCAACGTGTCTGCGGCAGACAAGTCGACAGGCAAGGAGAACAAAATCACCATTACCAACGACAAAGGCCGCCTCAGTAAGGAGGAGATAGAAAGAATGTTAAATGAGGCCGAGAAATACCAGGACGATGACAACAAACAACGAGAAAGAGTAGAAGTCAAGAATCGTCTCGAGGCTCTCTGCTTCAGCGTCAAGTCATCCGTCTCGGAACCTTCAGTTGCCGACAAACTCACCGCTGACGAGAAGCGATCCATCGAGGAGAAAGCACAACAAACTCTTAACTGGCTCGACGCCAACCAGCTGGCCGAGAAGGAGGAGTATGAGCACCAGATGAAGGAGCTGGAGCAAGCATGGCGCCCCCTGGCGAGCAAAGTGCACGGACAGGGCGGCGGCCAGGGTGGCGGTGCCTCGTCTGGCTCAGGACCCACCGTTGAGGAGGTCGACTAAACATTAATATGCGCACACACACACACACACACACATTTGCTTTAGTATACATACAAATATCTTAACTTATTTTTTCTAATACAACGTGTGGAAGAACACTAATGTATGTACTCAATACAGCTGTAACAAGTTGTACGTACAGGTACTCACAGCTGCCAGATATGATCCTCACTAATATAATTATAAAATATTGTTCCTGGATATAATGATACTGTATTCATGAATGTCTATTTTTACAATATAATATATTACTTATTTTGATTACCTTTTAATATTAATCACATCCTGATAGAATGGAACCAGATTATAGTTTGGTTATATACGGAGTACTTCTTCTGAATGATTTTGGTCCACATAAAGTCCTTATATTAATGCTTTATATCGGTGAAGAAAACAAATACTTGTAATATTTCCAGACACAAGGAAATTGATGCTGTATTATTATTATTATTTTCATCATCATCATCATCATCAAGGCGGTGACTACCACAGTGGTGAAGCAAGAATATCACTCCTACTGTAAGCTCCAGTATCATAACTGAAATAACCTACAACAGTTTTTTTTAAATACATGGGATGAGTTTTAGTATGTAAGTGACAAGAACATGTGACACATAAGAACAACACCTTCATAAAGTGGTACCAAAAATACTTATGAATCAACACTCGAAAAAAATCATTTATGGAATACTGATAATTGTTTATAAGACAATAATAGACAGAGACTTAAGAATATAACACCCAAAACTGTACAACCAACGACCCAAAACAACAAATTATCATAATTAATGTATATTTGGGGGATACAATGGGGCCACCAGCGAGTGAGTCAACCTGTGTAATATATTCTGGGTATAATGCTCTCTCTCTCTCTCTCTCTCTCTCTCTCTCTCTCTCTCTCTCTCTCTCTCTCATCACCTAGTCAACAAGTGCACTAAGAGTTACCTGGTCAATAAGTATGAGTAAGCTTGTCAATAAGTATGAGTTACTTAATCAATAAGTATGAGTTACCTGGTCAATAAGTATAAGTTACTTGATCAATAAGTATGAGTTACCTGGTTAATAAGTATGAGTTACCTGGCCAATAAGTATGAGTTACCTGGTCAATAAGTATGAGTTATCTTGTCAATAAGTATGAGTTACCTTGTCAATAAGTATGAGTTACCTGACAAAAGTATGAGTTCCCTGGTCAATAAGTGTGAGTTACCTGACAAAAGTATGAGTTACATGGTCAATAAATATGAGTTACCTGACAAAAGTATGAGTTCCCTGGTCAATAAGTGTGAGTTACCTGACAAAAGTATGAGTTCCCTCGTCAATAAGTGTGAGTTACCTGGTCAATAAGTACGAGTTATACTGGTCAATGAGTTCCCTGGTCAATAAGTATGAGTAACCTGGTCAATAAGTATGAGTAACCTGGTCAATAAGTATGAGTTACCTGGCCAATAAGGATGAGTTACCTGGTCAATAAGTATGAATTCCCTGGTCAATAAGTATGAGTTACCTGGCCAATAAGGATGAGTTACCTGGTCAATAAGTATGAATTCCCTGGTCAATAAGTATGAGTTACCTGGCCAATAAGGATGAGTTACCTGGTCAATAAGTATGAATTCCCTGATCAATAAGTATGAGTTACCTGGTCAATAAGTATGAGTTACCTGGCCAATAAGGATGAGTTACCTGGTCAATAAGTATGAATTCCCTGGTCAATAAGTATGAGTTACCTGGCCAATAAGGATGAGTTACCTGGTCAATAAGTATGAATTCCCTGATCAATAAGTATGAGTTACCTGGTCAATAAGTATGAGTTACCTGGCCAATAATTATGAGTTCCCTGATCAATAAGTATGAGTTCCCTGCAGCCATATATAAGTATGAGGGCCAGGGATAGAGAGGAAAAGTCCAATATGAGTTACAAGGCATAGCAACCATTGCTAAGACAAATCTTGAGTTACCTGTTCAATTAGTTTGAGTTCCCTGATCAAAATGAGTTACCGAGAAAAGTGTGAGTTACCTGGTCAATTAGCAAGAGTTCCCTGATCGAAATGAGTTACCGAGACCAAGTATGAGTTACCTGTAGCCAAATATGAGTAAGAGGGCCAGGGTGAGGGTACAGGTCAGCTATATATACACCCGGAGTGGGTGGCGGGCGGGAGGCTCTGGCAGACAGGAATGTGGCTTTATATATGGTAACCCTCACTCATGGTGCCAGAGGGGCTTAAGCCACCACCAACCAAACATGGCAACAGTGTGGAGGCTGGGAGCACCACACCAGCCTGTCCTCACGATAGATGGATAGATAATTCGATAGATACTGTATATAGAAAGATAGACAAAGAGATAGATGGATAGATAGATAATTCAGCATTAACCTTAACCCCAACATTAACTTTAACCGCAAAAGCAACATTAACCCCAGCTGTATCATTCTTCTTTAAACCTAAAAAGAGTCACATTTCAAGTACAGGTCCTCTAAGTAAACATACATTAGTCAAGTCATATTTTTGTCTCTCGTCCACCAAAACACAACTGTTTATCTTCTCCATTATCCCACTCCCATGTTTATTTAATTTTCTTTTTCGTTTTTTTTAAATAATTTATTCCCATTATGAAACTCCCTCATCACATAGTTCCACCAGTGACCTTCATCTCTGGGGGTACTACACTACATTTCCTCATTCTCTTCTTCACTTCCTTATCATCAAGTCTCACTTTAGATTTCCCATCATTATCACTCTTCGTCTCTCACATTGTAGCTTTATATTGTTATTCACCAATGCTTTAAAAATTGCAAAATATCGAGTTCTAATAACAGACATAAAGCAAAACAAGGTCAAAATAAAACTCATTGATAATATTCGTTACTTACCGGTATACGGAAAATGTTATTTATTTCATTAAGCTTGGCAGATAAAAGAGTCAATGCCAGAGTGAAGTTACTGACTCATACCCCTGCAACACACACTCAGCAGATGGTACACATGAACACCTTGCCCTCACTCTCACTTATAAAAATATCCCCATCTCTCTTTATCTAAACTATTTATTCAAGGTAGGAGTCTTAAAGTTCTGTCTGTCCTTGTCACTGGGAGCTTGTTCCTTACCTTGTCATCAAAATTTACAAAACAAGTGGAATTTTTTGCCTTGATGGTTTTCTACAGTACAGTACCTGTGTTAGGAGACTGAAGTGTGGGGTCTCTGCTATATGGAGGAGGGGAGAGCAGAAGAGGAAGGAGTTGCGAGGCTCAATCTGGAAAGGTTCAATATGTTTGGTACAGAACACATTTCCATTAGTTTGTAATTCATAAACTTTTGAAATTTCAATTTATCCTGTTTTAATAAGTTAATAAAAAGCCTCTTAAATAAACAGGTGGTTATTGGAATATCCTGATGAGGTATATGACTGAGTCCACTTGTCTCTTACAGGCTCCCTCTTACGTCATGTGACATCATGTTTTAGTGAATAAGTTTGCATTTATAGTACAGTAGTATTGTTTTACATTTTAGTAATACCCTGTACTGTACTGTACTAATAGGTGCATATGGCAAAGTATATCTGAAGAATATTGAAAAAAATTCGTTTTGGGAAAACCTCGGGGTAAACTTTAGCTAATGAAGAATGTACTTTAATATTTCCAAGAAGTTCATAAATTGTTTATTTTAAAAGTTACCACGGTGTTTTATGAACACATCCTCATTAGCTTAAGAGTAATACCTGTATCAAAACACTATCTATCACACTATGTGATTATTACAATACAGATTATTTAAAGTAGATTATTCATATGCCAAGAACAATTTGCATAACTATCACAAATACTCAAATGAAATCAGAATTCCTTAACAAGGATAAAATGTAGAAAAAAAATACTGCCCTCAGATCACCACCCGAAATTAAGATTAATTTATTTAATGAACAGTACAGTAGTGATAATGAAGACCACAGAGAAATTATAATCTTCAGTGTAGACAATATCTATGGACAAGAACTGTTGTTGCTAAACATTGCAAAACTTCAAACAAATTATTTGTGTATGGAATATTTTATTATAACTCTTTTGCATGTACATAAACCCTTTCTTGCTCTCAAACCAGGATACCTGATACATGCTGATCCCCTGATTATTATCATTTAGCAGTTAGTGGGTTACCTGACCCACTTGGCAAGATGCTAGTCCAACCAAGGGATGTTTACACCATCAGAAAACACAGAAGAGTACAGAACTGTACTATCTTATGGATGAGTGTACAAGAGCTGTGTTCAATAAGGGAACCCACTCCTCCACCCTGGCCAAGAATTGAACCAGGAACACTTCGATTATACTTAACACTGAATGCTTTACCACATTTTAAGATCACTCAATATTTTACTTTTAAAATACAAGTAATATTGGTCTACATTATTCTTGTTCTGTTTACAACATTAAAATCACAAACATAAGAACAGTATTTACATTTCCATATATACAAGATCCTTAGTTATGTAGTAATATACTGTATTACTTTTATATCTTACTAGGTCGAGGAAGTAAACCCATCAGTAATACAGTAAACCCTCTCAATAAAGGACTTCTCAAAAAGGGATACGCATTCCCAATAACGGACTTTTTTGTCCACTATAATTAGTGGACTCGGTTGGCAAGATCCAGTAATGGAAACATTTTCCACTATTAACTGGGTGAACTGACCTTAAAATGCATCAAAACAAACACAGCAGTGATGGTATGATTGCAGTAGTGCAAACAGGAACCATAATGTGCTCAGTATAAAAGAAAAAGCGAAATTTCTCCAAAACTTGATATGAAAACTCAATGACCAAACACACTGGATTCCTGATGGCCAGGAATGATGTGTGAAATGCACAAATTAATCTGGTAATGGGAAGGTTTACTGCATACCATAATAATTTATTCCTCAAGTTAAAAGCCAATATTTCTTTACCCAGTCAAAAATTTCTTGAGATAAGTAAACAGTAATACTGCTAAGGCTCCATAAACTCCTAACTTGATAATCTTGATAGTGACCACAGCTCCGGCTCCCTCTATGGAGTGAACCATACGATTGTTGAGGATAAACACCATCTTGCTCTCATCCATGAGTCTCTGGCGCGTGTCTTCGTCCATTTCTCCGGCAATCTGATTCATGGATTCTGTCATTTGTCTCTTAATTTTGGACACAGAGCCATCAGCTATCTCTGTGACAGCCATGCCCTCCACTGTATCCTTAAAAAATTAGAGATTTAGTTGTAACATTCCATATTCAACTTAAATTATGATGCATTCATATAAGATTTTGAAGCATCAATTATGTAAGTTACTGAGTAGTCAGATGGATTATCTATATGGCATGAATGACTGAAAATATTTATGCTTAGCCACCATATTTCCCCAAACAACTCACACTATATTACTACTATACCTTGCGAGAAAATGTCAGCTTCTCAAGAAGAACTTTCTTACGGCGCAAAATCTGTCCACCAGAAAGAAGCCCCATGTACAAGTGGTAGATATAAGACATGAGGAAGTAAGGGTTCTCTTCCTCTATCTTCTCCAGATGTTTCAAATACTGACACACACTTTCCCGGGGAGTGTAACCATTCTTCCAGTCATTACCAAGATAATAACACAAATCCTGAAATAGTAAATCTCATATTATCATTGGACACTGAAGTAAAATATTGATCTATAGTAATTTAATAACTGTTTCCTAATCAAATATATTCATAAATAAATGTATAACAACAAAACATCTTGGGAAGCCAAACCTTTTCAAATGCTTCGGTGCGTCTCATGCCGGGAATATCCAGTTCTCCGATGAGTGTGTGAGAGTGGCGGTCAAGAGCCTCCTCCAGGTACCGGAACACCTCATAAAACACCAACAAGCCTTCAGCCCACACCCGGTCCTCTGTCATCGCTGAAAAAAAAAGCTTAACAATATGTTTAATCTAAATCAGTAATTACATGGATTAGAAATAAAGTCCACATTTATAATACGGATTTTTATCATCGAAGTTCTGCACTTTCCTGTATGTACTGTATTAACTACTGGTATATATACAGTATGTGTTCAGGTGTTCTTACCCATAATGTATTTTACTATGCATGAGATGAATTCCTAATAAAATTGATCAAGCATATCTGGTAGTGTTGTGATAAAATTTCTCTGCCTTCAACTTTTTGGTAACTGAAGCTTTAAAACATATGGTACTCCAGAAGACTACAGTACAGTATAAGGCAGTTGCAGGTGGGAAGGAAGAATTTGAGCCATTTTTTTCTGGGCCGGTTTGTTAAAGTCATGTTTACTTTACCACAAGTCAAGGACCAGACCCAGAGTAACTGAAGTTTTCCCAAGGTGAACTTAGGGTAGAAATTTATATAACAAAAACATAGTTGTGAATAACAAGAGGATGACCACACTACAACACTTGGCACAGATAACTACAGAGACATTAATCTATTTTACATCACACTGGAGCAATCCTCTATACAGTACTGTCTTTGTTTATTATTTGTTGCCTTATTGTACTTACTCTTGTAACTCCAACCTAAAGAGGACACCACACACCATTAATTCTTCACCTTGAGGGTCAGATTCTAAGGCTAACATGATATTAAGATCTTTCCAAAAATTACCAAAGTATCTATAATTATGAAAGACATATGAAAATTTCCATCTTGATTTTCTTAACAACACCCAGTATCAATATCCTGGATACATTTTCCTTACCTATCCCAAGTTTGGCATTTATTAAAGCATCACTGACATTGTGGATTTCCTTGGTGGCAATTCTCATCTGTTTAGTGAAAGGAACCTCCACCTCGGACGCCATCCTGAAAACACAATGATACAATTAATTATTACTCTACAGCACTGAACAGGAAACTAAATTCATAAGAGTAGATAAAATAAGAGTTATGAACTATATGAACCATTACACAATATGATTTATACAAGATAAGGTGAATTAACTTAACCTACCTAACCTAACAATGATATACAGGTAATATATATAATTAAAGTTTATCTTATGTCCTAAAAATTATATAACGTAGTAGTTGCTGTAGGTGTTTCTATACAAATAACAGATCAGAGGCAGAATGATGTTGAGTAAACACTGTAGATGGAAGAAGATTACTGTTAAGGTGAAATTTTGAGGGATAAATAAAAGTTAGGCTGATTAATTTTCTCAGATATAAACAGTCAATACATCACCTAGCGTAGGCCATAAAATAGTGTTCACAACAGACTAATAGTGACGATAATATGACGAAAATCTTATTATTTCCCATTTTTTGGGCTTATAACTAGGTAAGAAAGCATTTATTTTCTATAATTCCCTCAAGTTGCTGGTTAAGCCGTGCAACAGTCGTAGAGTATTTTACCATCTAACTACAATAACTACATATCTATCTATACACTTACCTAATGATCTATCTATCTATTGAACAGTCTCCTAAGATATCCATATACCTCAGCCCAACCCCAGTTCGTACAACAGCTTCACCACACACCATCCAATTTAATGACAAAATTATGTAACAATAACCATCATAATTATATAAGTTGTTTAAGTTAATAGTAACACTAAATTTTTAAAACTAACTGATTTACAAAGTATTTCAGTAAATATGTCACAATAGTCACATCTAAATAAGCGATAATTAAGAGACAGTACAGACACACAACCTCACCTGTCTGTTATTAAGAGACAGTACAGACACACAACCTCACCTGTCTGTTATTAAGAGACAGTACAGACACACAACCTCACCTGTCTGTTATTAAGAGACAGTACAGACACACAACCTCACCTGTCTGTTATTAAGAGACAGTACAGACACACAACCTCACCTGTCTGTTATTAAGAGACAGTACAGACACACAACCTCACCTGTCTGTTATTAAGAGACAGTACAGACACACAACCTCACCTGTCTGTTATTAAGAGACAGTACAGACACACAACCTCACCTGTCTGTTATTAAGAGACAGTACAGACACACAACCTCACCTGTCTGTTATTAAGAGACAGTACAGACACACAACCTCACCTGTCTGTTATTAAGAGACAGTACAGACACACAACCTCACCTGTCTGTTATTAAGAGACAGTACAGACACAACCTCACCTGTCTGTTATTAAGAGACAGTACAGACACACAACCTCACCTGTCTGTTTGTTTACTTCCTGAGGTGGTGTGGAGGATAATGTTACCTTACTACCACGAACACTGCTGCTATAACACATAATGAACCAAAGATAATGTTACCTCACTACCACGAACACTGCTGCTATAACACATAACACTGGTCTGCATGATTTTTTTTATTGACTGTATTTCATCTTTTTCGAAATATATATAAAAAATAGTGATTCACTGTGTTTTTTATTCATCTCTATCACATCAGGTTCTGTGACAGTCTGTGACGTTGACTTTTCATTTTTTATATAACATAAGTAAATGCTAAAGTATAATACCAATTAAAATACTTACCTTATATTGACTTAAATGTTAAATCTAATATATTTTTCTTTATTTTCAGTTCTTTGAGAAAAACGATGCTCTTGTTTTCTGTTCAAATATTTGTGGCCTTATCGAGCACATGGGGATGTCGTACAAAGCAGATGAATGGAGGCTCTTCATTGATTCTTCTAACAAAAGTTTAAAGGCTGTTCTTCTCTACAATGGCAACGCAGCTGCATCTGTGCCGATTGGCCATAGTGTCCAAATGTCAGAAACTTACGAAAATATGAAGACACTTTTAACTGCAATCAAGTACCATAATCACAATTTTCTCATTTGTGGTGATTTAAAAGTTATTGCTCTCCTACTAGGTCTTCAAGGGGGATACACCAAGTATCCCTGTTTTCTGTGTCTCTGGGATAGTAGGGCAGACAGCCAGCACTATGAACAAAAATACTGGCCACCAAGAACCAGCTTCTTACCCGGAGATCACAACGTAAAAGCTGTGCCACTAGTTGACCCCAAGAAAATTCTGCTACCGCCACTCCACATCAAATTAGGGCTTATGAAAAATTTGGTGAAGGCCCTGAACAAGAATGGAGCTGCTTTCAAGTACCTGGAGTCAAAGTTTCCTCGTATAAGTGAAGGCAAGCTAAAGGCAGGAATCTTTGTTGGCCCTCAGATTCGGGAATTGATGAAGGACATGCATTTTGAGGAAGCATTAGCTGGTGTCGAGGTGAATGCCTGGTTTTCCTTCAAACAGATTGTCCAAAACTTCTTGGGAAACAGCCGCTCTCCAGAATATGAAAAACTGATCCAAGACCTGATTTCAAGTTTCCAGCAACTTGGGTCTAGAATGAGTGTGAAGATGCACTTTCTGCAATCACATCTTGACTATTTTCCCAAGAATTGTGGGGACTACAGTGAGGAACAGGGAGAGCGGTTCCATCAGGTTATATGCACCATGGAAACTCGATACCAGAGCAAATGGAATGTCAGCATGATGGCGGATTACTGCTGGTCATTGAAACGTGATGGTCCCGATGCACAGCACAAGCGGAAGTCAAAGCGGTCCTCCTTCCTTTGAATCAATATGTAGGCTAACTATTAGGAGCATATTTTTGTTTACATTCATTAGATTTTATGTTGATTATTCTGCTTCATTTCATGATAAACGTAATTAATTTCATGGTTATTTGGAATACATTAATAATTAATTATATATTATTATATTATATCATATTTAAAAATCATTAATTTGTATTTTATTAAAAATCCTTACGTGATAGAGCAAAATGGTGGAGATATTTAAAATCAGCAACCCAAGAATATGTAAGATCACTTACATGAATAAAAATAAAAATAAAAAGTTCCCAAATGCAGACCAGTGTAATGAACCAAAGTAAATATGTATAACTATCTTAGATAATACATATATTTATCTATCTCTTACAGTATTTGTCTATTTTACTCTTACTATATACCTAAACTAATTTCAACTATAAATAATTACCTATCTATGTAACTAATTTCCTATCCATCTGCCCATCCAATTTTCTATTTATCTATATCTATCTATCTATCTATCTATCTGTCTATCTATCTATCTATCTATCTATCTCTCTATCTATCTATCTATCTATCTATCTATTTAATCTGTAGTTAGTATAGTTACCCCGTATAGAGGCAGCATAATATTATGGGATGACGTCACAGGCTGCCACCTCACAGCTGATGTAAACAGTGTCCACACCCAACCACTTGTTATATTAGGTGATTAAGCTTATGTAGATGGTGATTTGTGGCTTAGGAGAGAGAGAAGACTGTGTAATGATGTGATTTATGTGTGTAATGGTAGTTATTGGTTAATGTTAGGGTATAGTGAAGCTCTTCTGCCGGGCCGTATAGTTAAAGGTATTCTATTTCTTTTTTTAGTAATTGTTGTCTTGTTGTCTGTTGTTTCAGAACTGTCCATTATGGCTAATGAGGATGAGGTGACCTTATTGTTTGAACGACACTCGGTGGCTCAAGTGCAAGAAATTTTAAGAAAAACTCGTAATGATATCGAGTGTAAAAAGGAGGATCTCCGAGTTATGGTGGGGTGAGTATAGTGTTTTACTTTATATATGTTGTATTATATTTTGGGTACAGGTGGAGGAGACTGTTACCATCAGAAAGACACTTACATGTCCTTCCAATAAGTCAATGATCACATATTAAGTCCTTAACACAATCTTGACCCTCAACAAGCACAGATAACTTTACAGTTCCATAATTTTCTATAAAAAATTTGCCATTTTACTTTTAGTTTTGTATTATTATTTTAGGGAGCGATACAGGGATCTGATAGAAGCGGCTGATACTATTGCTGAAATGCGAGAGAGTGCTGAAGCCATCTGTAATAACATCAAGACCATGGAGGGACTGTGTGAAAGTCTTCAGCAGCGAGGTCTTATTGGCTTCAAGACTCAGAGCCAACACAACCTTGGTATAGATCGGTGAGTACTGTTGTGCAGAGTGACACACAGCTAGACTGTCTCACCCAGAGTAATGGGGTGACTACACAGGCGCCCCTCCTCCCCTGATGTAGCCATTAGATAAATCAGGTACTGTACTGTATTAGGTAAATGGAAAGATTTATCTATCTGTGTATAGTGTTGCCTTTCCTTTTTCACTGTTGTGTTGTATTAATTTAAGGTTTAATAATACAAATTGAAACATCTGCCCAGTTGTGTTATTGTTAGAATCTAAAATAATATATGTCAGCTGTAGGCCTTGTTGAGTTATGGAAGTGGACTTTTGGGGAAAAGAACAAGTGGTTGACTTGTAGTCTCAGTGTAATATAACCTTCTTGTTTTAGTACAAGTTTGGTGTTGCATTTAGTATAACATTGTATTTGTGGTTTATACTAATTCATTAATATAATTTTTATGAAGAAAGTTATATAAAAACTTAAAGAATTTCAATGAGGCACAAGTGTTTCCCGAGTACTGTACACTATGTTGTGTTCATACTTCATGTGTGTCTGTGGAAAGCAAGAACATTTTATAGTGGGCATATTGTAACTAATAAAGGAAGGAGCCATTATGGAAGATTTTATTCCAGAAACACTTCTAATTACTGTTCCTGTAAAACTTACTGAATAATGATTAATAAAACTTGGACTTTGTTGCTGCAGATCTCCAACATCAGGAGCTCATTACTCTGTGGCAGTACAAGTGAAGCTGCTGGTGGGGGTGCCAGAAGCCTTGTGGGGGCTGACAGAACACTGCCAGTTCTTGCCTGCCACTCAGCTGTTGCTCTTGGCTCACCACACCCACACGTCACTACAGTTGTCCCCTAGTCCTGTAAAGGTACCTATGTTTCTTAGGGTCAATTTAGTATAGTATAATATAGTATAGTATACAGTCCAGTATTTAATATGCAGACACTCAATACAGTAACTGTGTGATGGTGGTAGTGTGAGATTTGAGAGTGCATCAGACTACCCTGTACCAGGTGAATTACTGTCATATTCACAGTGACCAAAATACTAACATTTCCTTCTGCTGTGTTTCAGGTGGCTTCTTGGTTTCCAGTTATTGAGCGTCAGTGGGCCAGTATAACTCAGTTCCGTAACACAATAGTCCGAGGCTGTTCTTCTCTTATTAGCTATGAGACGGAAAATGTTCAGGTATGTTAAAAGTTTCGGATAACTGAGATAATACAGTATGGCAGCAGTGAAGTGATGTATTTTGTTCAGTTAATACAGCGGAGTCCCGATAATTCAGTAAATAAAAATTCATGGGCACCTTTATTACTACCTCTTTGTTTTTAAACTTCACCGTCAAAAATTCATAATTCGCTGCCGAGTGCCAAATACTGCAGTGTTTATTTACATAGGAAACCATAAAAGTTGTGGAAATATAATGTCAATGCTCTAATTTGATTTGGAATTAGGAAAATATACCCATACTGTATCATTTAAATGCTCTTATGTTACTTAGAAATAAAGAAAAGAAAATATAAAATTATAAAATAAGAAAAAATGGACAGTGGGAATGAATTCTGTGTGAGGTAGGGTGGAGGGCTCAACCCCTTTATAACAACAGTACTGTATGCAATTTATGTAATATGGAACTACTTTTTGTACAATATCAATGTTACTGTATTCTTTTATGTATTATTTATGATGTTAAGTATTTATTAAAGCAGTTTTTTAATATTCTATGTGTATGTTTTTGTCTCTTGAGTCATCACGAATTATTTCTGTTTAAGTCAATTAAACTATAATTCGTGATTTGATAATGTACGATGTCTTTTGGTACCTTGCCCACAAAATATCGAGTCTCCATTGGATTTTGTTTATTTATTCTTATATAATCTTTGCTTAGTTCCAATAGATCAACTCATCAAGTAGATAACAACTTAAATATTAAATTAACTGAAGAAAAAATTGAATTAAGTATGTTGTACTGTACTTATTTTTATGAATATTTTGCAGGCTGTGTTAGATGCCGTTGTGTCTGTGATGCTTGTGGAGGGTTGTAGCTCTGCCGACGCCCTCAGCCGTGTCCTTCACCTGCGTCACTCAGCCCTCATGGCTGTGTTAGCCCCCAGACCATCAGCTACAGCCAAGGCTCAGATCTCCCAGTTTACAACTTTGTTTCTAGCGACCTTGAACATCATACATGCTGTGTTTGTTGGTATGTGCTCAGGTAATGTTGAAAGTATGAATGAAATTAAATAGTTATATTGGTACTGTACAGTACCTGTATTTCACTTCAGAGGGATAACTGTATAATTTTTATGTGTACATCAATTACTTATCTATGTGAATCTGATTATTCATTCATTATGAAATTGTTTTTATGGTGATGAAGGAACAAACTTTTATTCACCAAAGGAGAAATATTGATGCAGTAGTTTGACCAGTGGAAAAAATGCTTTTCTATGGCGATGGAGAAAACCTGATCTTCATAAGGATAAATAATTGTACAGTAATATCCTAAAAACAATTGAAGTCCAGTACTGTACTTTCATTATTGGTAATTTTTTTTTTAAGAAGTTATTGATATCTTGAAGGTAAATTTTCTTTATTTTCTAACAGAAGGAGATGATGGGAAGAGCCTACTTGAGAAAAGGCTGCAGGAGGTGGTGCAGGGGGAGGGTGAAGAAGACTCACCCATCTCCCTCCTCCAGGAGACATCACTTACTCTCTCATTCCTGCCACAATCTATCAGACACTTTAGGTAATAGATATTCTTTTATGAATAATCATCTATGTTCGTGTGTTTGTGTCTACAACCAAAGTAGGAATTAGAAAGTAACACTTACTGTGATGGTTGAATAAGCATGTCAATATCTCACTTTTCAGACCTACAGTCCAAGGCAGCACAAAGCCTCTTGGGAATGAGTTTGTTAGAGAGCAGGTCATAAATTGGTTGGGCTCAGTGCTGGACGAAGCTTCAAAAACATTAACAACGCTTCTTTGTGAGTCTATTGATAATTTGTGTTTTTTGTAATAGTTTATTGTCATGAGAATGTTTTATGCTCTGCCCTTACTTAGTGTGATTTCTATTTAGCTTTTTTGTAACGTGTTGTATCTTGACAGCTTTCACCACCAGCGTTAAGGCATTGGCCATGATCAGGCTCAGTGTGTGGGAGATCTGCCAGGCCAAGCTAGAGAGGGAACAGTGGAATAAGGTGAGGCATTTGTGGTATCATGGCCTCAGGTTTTGTTGCTGAAAGTGAAGGCTGCGACTAATGACCTGGATTCAGCCATTAAGTGTGGAATTCATTATCACTTGGGCCTATCTGTGATCCATCAGGCCCCATGTCCTCATGGGCCCCTAACTTATTGAGGTTTAGGCAAAGTCTTTATTTTCAATTTAAACTTAGTGTTATTAGTCCCTCTGTCTATTGAGCCCCAAACAGTTATTTATATTATGTCAGTTGTGTAATTAAGATTAAGGATTTTATTCATCAGAGAGGAGACCCCATACACAAGTGGTTAACAGAGGTGTAGTGTGTATATATTCTGGTACAAGCATAAAAATAATCTGCCCTGTTTGAAATAGTCAAACTATTTAGATATACATTACAAGTATAATAATTTCAGATCACAAATGTTCTGTGTGGTGGTTACTTTGACCCTTGGGACTCAGTTGTGCGAGGCCAAGTGAGTGAGAGGGCACGGCAGGTGGTCACATCCCAGTTGACTGCTGCCAAGGAGGCTGTCCTACAGCTGGTGTCTCGGCTCACAACAGACATTGCTGCTGACCCTAAGTGAGACCTTCTTTTATTATTATTACTGTTGTTGGTGGTATTACTGTATTATTATTATTAGTAGTAGTAGAAGTAGTATCAGAACTGAAACCTAAGTTTCCTGGTCTCTGCTGGCACATACTGTAACTTTTCATTTGTTGAACATTTTTGATGTTGGAAGTTCTCCAAGTTTGTTTTGGGAGGTTTATGCCATTCAGGGGTCGTTATCATTATTATTGTATATAAAGAAATGAGTGATGGCTATTTCTCCCTCATGTTGTATGCCAGGTACTGTATTACTTAAAGCAGGAAACTATAAATTCATTAATTAAACTTATTATTTACTGGCAAGCATCAGTGATGTCTTTGAAGGAATGAATTTTTAAAATGACTCAGATAATTTATGAATACCATGTAACTCAGTGCTGATGATAAGATAAGGGAGTAACTAGGTACTACAATTTCAGAATATGCTCAGAGGAAGGTGACATAACTAATTTTGTGTGGAGTGAGTCAGCTGGGGATTTGCCTGAAAGAGTTGGATGGACATCAGCCGCATCAAGATCTGTGTCCCAGTCAGGAGGTGAGAAGTGAGGCTCTGATGTGGTCACTGTGTCTTGTTCCTCAGTAGAATAATGGACAGTCTCTGTGTGGGAGTAATGTGTCTATGAAGGAGTGACTTTGAAAATTGTGTTTTGTGATGCAAGCAATGATGATATTGAAACATAATAAAAAATAATAATGTAAATTATACAACTCAACCTAAAGTTAACCTTAACATGTTTAAGATAAAAGGTAATGTAATGATGAAATAATTTATAAAGTTTCTTTAACACTAAATATTGTGTATGTAGAGCATTACAGTACAATGTATAAAAGCAGAGAATTTATATTTTAATTAAGAATTTCTTGCTATTAGGTTTGTACTATAAAACACGTGGATACACCACTCGACTACAAACTATATGTCGAGCACTCAACTCTAGGCTGATGGCTTTACTTCAGGATGTTGGGCACTTCAATTGTGGTAAGTTATCATGTGGTTTAACAATTTTATTTTCTTAACAATATAACAATGGTATCTTTATACTTTACAGCTTGGTGTTGGTCAAAGAATATTCTTGTATTTATCAGTTCTGTGGGTGACAGCCAGTGATGTACCTCTTGATGTCAGACTTAGTGGTCTTGAGTGGTTGTAACCCCAGCTAAACCTCATTACTAATGGTTGGCATATCACAAGTTATTTATTTCTTCCCCTCCACGGTCAGTCTTTGGTCATCTTTATCATTGTCCCCAACAGAATCAGAGAAGGTTGACTATCTTAGTGGTAATGACAAACACAGTCCAACAGATGAAGAAAGAAACAGTGTGGTGGAAGACTACAGTTCCCTACTCAGCTTTCTTCAAGATGCCAGCTGCTCCATCTTTACACAGTAAGTTTGTATAGATCAATAAAAGTTGTCATGTACGGTACTGTATTATCTTGTAGGGCAATCATGAAACATGAATGAGGCAGACTGTGTTTTCTTGAGTCTTTTAATCTGTACCTCAGTGGAAAAGGTCAGGAATGAATTTGTTTACCACTTGTGTATGGGTTCCTCTTTGTGCTGAATATAATTATCTAGCATTAGCCAAATAAAATACTAACTGTAACATCACTGTATTGAAGGGATTAATACCTTGTGAAGAATACTTTTAATACCACGTTGATAAAGTACATGAAGATGTTTCTTTATGCTTGGACTGAAATTGTGCAAATGTTAAGGAGTAGTCGAATGTTTCCTTGTTGTAATAGTGGTACATACCATGATAGGAGGTTGCTTGAGTATATTTGTTTGTTTCTCTGCAGGCTGGTGAAGGAGTTGGAAGAACTGGCTAAACAGCGCATCTCTGTACCACCACCTCAAGTAACAGAGGGTTGGGAGGACGACGTGTGTGTTGTGGCTCTGGCTGTACCCTCAACCATTGTGGTGGTGGTGGGTCGCATCTGTCAGGCTCTACCCAACATTTGTTCTCAGATGCAGATTTGTGCCTCAGCATCAAATCTTGCAAACCCAGATATTGCCCGGGTAAGTTTGGCTGCAGAAGGTAGTACTGTAGCTCAAATTGATCTTTTTACCAACTTCACTTGTATAAAAATGTTGTAAATGAATAAGGATAAAGGTACTTGTAAAAGATTCCTGTAATCATCTGGTATTATGTCTTCCTCTGACCATCAACATCATACATGGACATAATATTTATTACTACTGTACGTGAGTGACCTCAGTGTGTTATGTTATGACAATTCTTTTGTTGTAGCGTGTCTCACTGGGGTCAAAAGTAGAATCTGAATCCTGGACAAAACTCCGTTCAGAACTCCAGGAGACCAGCTGCCGCCTGTTTGGCTTCTTCCTCAAATCACTGACGTCCGGCCTTCACACCGAGTTAAAGACATACTTGTTGACAGAAGTCTCATCAGGAGTTGCAGCATCAATCAAAGCTTTTCCGGTACATTTTTTTTATCATTAACACAGAGGAAGATTCTTAGTGATTAAAAACAATGCATGAAATGATGTGATAGAATATAATGGTAAAAATATCTTAGTTTTGTTATAATTATTAACTTCTACAAATAATCATTTTAGGATTATGTTAGTTAGTGTATTAATACAACACTGTGGATGTCCTCTTGTTTCACAGACGTGGGACATGGTGGACATTGAAGAGGAAGGTGAGAGTGGTAATGTGGTCAAGTCAAGCATCCATGTCCCAGCTCATCCAACCCCAGTTCTCACACAAGCTCTTGCTCACCTTTGTGCTTCAGTTAACTGTGTGGCCACTCACACCATTACCAGGTGATGATTATATCCTTCCAGAGTCCTGTCGCCTCTTCTGCTGCTCCATGAACCTCAAGATTGTGACTTGTGAACCCGAAGCAGTAGACACCAGGGTTTCTCATTTTTGGGCGTTTTCAATGCTTTGCAAAACTGGGAAATCCCGGGAGTTTTGGCATTTGTTCCAGGAAATAATGTAAAGGTTCACTCTCTGGGAAACCACCATAGTAGACATTGATGCATTATTCTGTTTGCAACTGTACCTTCACCTGTTTTAATGGGATTGGAAACACTATTAGTAGTTAGTTACTGTATTTAAGTGAATGGTAATGTTTATTTGTGTACTGGTACTTACACATCCATACAGTATTATATGAAATAATGTTTTTATAAGTTCATAAAATACAGTAAAATAGAAAGGGATAACTGTCGTCTAATAATTTCAGAACTGCCCAAACTGAGTTAACATCAGGTGCTTGTGAAGCCGTAATTTCTGCATATGAGGGTTCACTTTCTGATACACAGCAGATAAATCAAACTTTAGCTCTTCAACTTATCTTTGACCTGCGATTTGTGCAGACAATTCTTTTACCACGTGATAATAAGGTAAGAAATACCGTACATGAAGTACAGTGTATTATCTTAATGCTGTACAGTACACTAGAACCTTACACATCCAGATGTCTTGGGGCCAGAATTAAATAAAAGAAAATTATTCTGTATTCTTAAATTTCATATGCTAATTATGTACAATAAAGATGCAGAGTTTGAAGAGTAAATGTGGAATTTGAAAGTGAAGAAATGTTTGGAGGTGTGGATACTGGTGACTGAGCTGAAAATTTGAAATGCTAACTGGCTGGCTGGTGGGACAAACTTGTGGCTGGCATACCAATATTTGGAGCCTGTTTGTGTGCTAACATTATTTTCCAGTGACTTTAAGGCATAGGATTTTCTTCAAAGAGAACATTTCTCCAATTGTGTAATACGGTAGGAGTCAGTGTATTACTTCAGTAATAGAATTGTGAGAGATGTTGGCTTTGCATTTCATATTGTTCATTTTGTTTTAAATCTCATCCAGTTTCTCTTTACGTATAAGTGTAAAATTATTACTGTACTGTATAAATCTCACTTATTATCTTTATTATTGGCAGAATCATCGTTTACACCAAAAACTGCCAATAAAAACATGTTTTGTGGTATTTTGAGGAAGTTTTTTTTATAGGAATGTACAATATTTCAACTTTTAAAATGGGGTCTGGGAAAATTTTCATTGATTTACAAGAGGTTTTACAGGAACGTAACCCTCTCATAAGTCGATGTCTGCCTGAATGTATGTATTCATAATTCTTATATATTTTTATTCTTATAGTTATTGGCTTGATTTATTTTTTTATGACAGGAAGTGGGAGGTCGTTTGATGGCCATGATTCAAAAACTAGAACGAAGAGTTGACCCATTTGACCTTGATGTGTTCTCACCACACGTGACCACCCGGGTCAAGCTGGCAGCACACAGAGCTCAGGTCAGTTGTGTAACATTCACACTGTAATCCTAACAAATTGCAATGTGGTCATGTTAGTTATGACATGAAAGAGATTTATTTTTGATAATGGGATTGGTCGCAAGTTCAGGTTTATGTTCCCTGCTTATCATAATAGGAGACTAAAACTTGTCTAAAAGTACTCAAAGCCACGTGATTTAGCATAGTGGTCGTCCTCTTCGTACCAAATATTGAATCTGGAATGGACTAAAGATATATATAGAAAAATAGATTGCACAGTATTCGTATCCACCATGAAATATTGGCTCTCTCTTATGGGTGTATGGTGGACAGGTTGTACTGGGAGCTGTGCTGTCCCGGGATCGTCAGGTTACGTCGGGTCGTCTTCCGGCAATGTCAATGACTGGTCCGTCAAGCAACAACGCCCTTCCAATTGTCCTTCCTGTAGAAATTCCTCGATTTTCCAACGTACCTCTCCCCCTCACCACCTCGCGACCCTCTATTCCATCATCCATCTCTTCACCAACCTTATCCTTGACCGAGAAGTTGGCTGATGCTGCCTCAGCCAGGCAAGACTCCCTGAAGGTATGAATTCTTTTTAGGTTTATTTCTCATAGATGATTCATTGGTAGTGAAGACATATATAAAGTCTTGTTATTTTATGTCAAGATGAGTTACAATATTTTTATGAGGAAATCACAAAATTTTATTGTATATTTGTTTCTGGGTTTTTTCTTGTATGTTTTGAATTACAGTACAGTTCGTCCATGTGGGAATTTATCAGGATTTCTACATTGTTATTTCTGAGAACACTTATTTATATGTATGTGTGTTTATATTCCAGCACTTACATGTATCCACAGTGAAGCAACCTTGAGTACGTTTGTGTTTTTCTGATTTACAGCATGGAGTTCAGTGAAGTTATAGACGAGTTTAGAATAACAAATAAATGACTCGTTAAGTGTGAATATTACTCACGCAAAAATTTTTTTTATTTTATTTATTTTTTTACTCTTTGAAGCCTTTTATCACTTTATGCAGGGTGGTACATACACTTATTTCACCTTCATTAATTGTCATTCATTCTTTCTTCCTGCTGTGGTCCTCACTTTGCCCATGTCTCACTTTACGCTGGCCAACATCATCCACCAGCAGCTTGGCCTTCCTTCATGCTCACTGCTGCTTCCATCCCCCTCACCTTTGGTGTGTCCTTCACCCCATCCTTCATCTACTTCTTGGTCTCCCTCTTTCTCTTTTACTGTCCATTTCTGAAATAGATGTTCTTCTTGCCAATTTTTCACTTTTCATTTTCTCAGTATGTCTAAACCACCTGAGTACATCTTGATCTGCCCGCTGCCGAGTAAATCCTACAAATTCAAAAAATCCTGACCATCCTTCCTCCCAGACAGTGTTATTTTAACCATATGTGTAAGGGGGGTCCCCTCTCTGCTGAATAAAATCGTGTGGCATTAGTTAAATTAAATATTAAAAGTAATGTCCCCATAGTGAAGAGGTTATACAACAATGTGATAAGAAGCCACAGAACAGAACCATCACTTGAGAGCTCTCTATAGTATTACTTCCATATTACTCAAGTGAACCAGGTTCTTACTAATGTACTTTTAAGTATCCTTGTGGTATGTTTCACTATAAATAAATACCATAACTTGTGCCAGGACTTGAATACTTTATCTTTAACAGAATTTTATCTTAATACAGTATAATATATATAAAAATTATCGACCTTGAGATACACTTTTAATCTTACTCAATATGATTTTGTTCTGTAACCTTTAACTTTCAGCATAGAGGCTGGTGATGCTAACCCAACTAGTGCAATGTTCTGTTCATGGTTTTTTTAATCTTATTCTCAGCATGTTGCGAGGAATGGTTATGTATATTGATCCATTGTACAGTTGTCTGGCTCAATTGGTAGTGTTTATGACTCGCATCCCAGTGTCCTGAGCTGGGCATTATTCTGCTGTGGTATGTGTGGAGTTGGCCACCAGCCACATCATTCCATTAGAAAGACAATTGTTAAGGATCACATTTGAGTTTGGCATTTTCTATAAGTTGCTGACTATGAACAGTGCTGGTGTTCCATCCTGTGTCTCGCAAGCATCGTGAGAGGGTTATAGGTATGACGCTAAAGGTTTGATGTGTTGGTCACTTTGAAGCCTAAGTCAGGTTTTGGGTGTTGTAGACAAGTGATACAGTATATTATAGTTACACAGCACTTGAAGCAGTTTCTCCCACCTTCCTTATTCGTAGCTACAACTTTGATATTCCTGGATCAGTCCAGTAAAGGCTCAGGTAATAGTGTGGGAGTGATCCTGAAACCACAGTTCATAGGAGCCTGGGTAGAATGACTGATTTCCACCTTCCTTCTTCAGGTGTTTCACGGGGGATTAGCATGGAGCGAGGTTGTGGTGTCTGATATGTAAGCTACCAGACCGTAGGCAACTGTGGGGAAGGCAGCCTGTCTTTGTATTATTTATTTGTTCAAAGCTGGATTGCCAAAGAAATTTTTGTTCCCAGTGTTTTAACCAATATTTATAATGGTAGGAGTCACATATGATTTGGGTACTGTATTATTGAAGTCAACAAGTGAAAGCTTCATGAGCTTTGGTAACAAAAATCTCACTTATCTTATAAAACAGGCCCAGAGCAGTCCATCTGCAGCACGGAGAGAGATGTCCTCGGCAGCACTGTCAGCTTCCCGCAGTGCTGCCTCACTCTTCTCTGCCATGAGTTCATCTTGGTTTGGTTCATCTTCATCTTAAGCCAGTTGACCTTAATGTTTCTAAACTTGAAGGTATATATATACATTGATTTATAATTTATAAATTGAGAAATATTAATTCATTTTTAACAGTAATGTGTTCTTTACAATCAGTAAACATTATAAATTGTTTGTCTTATAGTGTATATGTTTGATATTAAGTTTCAGAAAAGTCTCCCAGTTTATTTCTTTGACTTTCTTGGGAAGGATAAAAATTTATGTGGTTAATCTGGAATAAAAAATAGAATGTTTCATGTCTTTAAGTAACACCTTATGAACAATGGCCCTTTTAGTGAGACCTGACACAAGTCACTGGTGTTTGTGTACAGAGTAAATAAATAAAATTTCCTATTCATGTAATTTGGAGGAGAATTTTGAAGTAGTAGTCTGTGAAAATTGTTTGAGGAAATGATAGGCATTAATTTTTTGATCTTATGAATAGTGTATAGCTCCACATTTCTGCAAAGACTGAGCAACAGCCTACATAAGAAGTATATCATCATTATTACTGGTTTATGGCCATTTTCCTACCTTGCATTTCACCTGCCCCATGCACAAGTAACCAGCCCATATCTTGTTCTCTACAGTATACAGGTTGCCTTCATTAACACTGAAGTTACAGTCATAGAAATAGTCAACATAACTTCTGTGGTCTCTGGGAGTTACGTCTTCCTTTCTCCCTTGTACAGTATTTGTAAAAAGGTTACTGAAAGGGTGAAGAACAGGACAGATTTAGTAATCCTTTCCCCAGTATTAATGTATCTTGTGATGATAAAAGCCAAAGACATGTGGTTTATGACAACTGTGTATTAAATGCTTATGTATGTGCCTCTGGGTCTCTCTAATCATAAAAAAAAAAATCCGAAATTAACGGTTTGGAATATTTTGGCGTCGACAATTTCCAAATTTTTGTGTTCGATTATTCGTTTAGTTTTTGTACCTTATTCGGATTGTTCTGAAGATTGTTTCTCATTATTCCAACCAACAAACATATTCAGGTTACCAAGCCTTGGCTGCCACATAAAATAGGCTGTGGGTATTTGCACACTGAGTAATGAGATCCATGCACTTGTCTTTATTTTACTTTACCCTCTTCACCAACAATCCTGAAGGAGTGGGTCAGTATGTGGATTTTTTGCAGGTCAAGGTCAATTATGCCTTAATTTTGTTACTATAATTCATAAGTGAGTCAAGCAGGAAAGGGATTAGACAAAGTGTGCAGATACCATGTGCAAATACAAACAATAATAAAAAAAATAATAAATGAATGGAACACTTACATTGTGAGATGAGTTGATTGTACAAGTTACAGAATGTAAATCCAGGGAGAACACTAGCGTCCGACCCCCATAACGCACAGGTGGTACCGTAAACTACATGGCATTGTCAGACACCTGCGCTGGTGACCCGCTCTCACATGATAGCAGCACGACCCAAGATTACAAGGTTGACGTGAAGCGACGGGCCTGAATTTTCAAGCCCGCTGCCACACGACTTTTAGGAACTGCTCAGTTATTTTGGATTCATTCCAAAGTTAAATTGTTTAATTCATTTAAAAAACAAAACAAAAAACATAAGAATAAAGCCAAAACCTGAATTACAGCACTCTGTATAACGATCCGAATTAACGAGGGTACAATGTACTGTATTGGTATGACATCAAGATTCACACCCCTCCTCCCGCTTATTTCACCTGATGATTAAAACCCTAACACTTCCCGTGGGTGTTAAATTAGGGTAGCATTAAGATGATTAGTCTAATGGTGAAATAAACTAGCTAGGGAGGGCTTATCTTCATATGATATGAATATTGGTATTTTGACGCATAAATATGATAAAATAAATCTATTGTTCTCGAGGCACGATGAAGTTAGAAACATACGTTAATAATTATAACAAAGGCAAAGTATCCAATCTTCCAACCACAACTGAGAACTTTATCATTAAGTAGCAAGTTAGCCAGTGCCTCTGCTACCACAATTACACGACAAATGTAAAGGGTTAAGGAAACATGATATGGAAGAGGACCAACACAATTTTTCTTAAGAATGTATAAAAGAATTTGAATACTAAATTCTCTAAAGTGTGTGCATATAATTTCTACCAGAGATATTGCAGATATTGCTTGCCTAAATTCTGGACATATTTCAAACATCAAATTACAACTATACATTACAAAAATTACAATACTATTATTATTATTATTATTTTTGTGCAACAGAACAAGAGACATAATACAGTACAGGTACAGTATTACATATCTTCCAAGAATTAGTTTCCATCATAAAATAAAATTATTTTCCATTTGACAATAATTTTATATATTACAACTAAATATATTATTCTTTAACCACATAAAAAACTGAATGGTAGAAACCTGCTGATTAATATAATGAAAGTTTCCATCCTTTCATAAATTGGATATCCACTTGAAAATAAAAAAACCCTAAATAACTGCACCATCTGTCAGAAATAAATAGGAATAAAACAACAAGTTAATTAAAATAGCACAAAGACATATTTTTGAACATAATGAAAATCAGCAGCATTCCTAGAAAATAGAAGACATGATGATTTGTAAAGAACATTGATAGAACCCTGTAAATGTTTAGGCATTAGACTGAATACAGTACACAAGTCTGGAACATCTCTCTCTACTATGGCCAGTTTCTTCGCAACCTTTAAATACATACGTGAATTATTTACCAAATATTACTACTCGTGTACTAGACTTACTTAAAAGATGAAAAACTGCAAAATATCTACGTTCCTGGTGCTACAAGGTACAGCCATGTCAACCAGTCTACCAAAAATCTACAACAGGATAAGAAGTACATTGTAAAAAAATGCTATTACAGATATAATTTTCAAGTCTGGTAATATTAAGTTACTTTAAAATCTACCATTTGATCATTTGAGTAATGTTTGTCATGTATGGCATCCTTATGTTACCTACCTACTGAAAGAAAAAGTATAATTATGTTTTAAAACTCTTATCAACAGAAGACAGTGTTCTAAAAATATCAAGTTAGTCGTCAACGTGGAAATTATGTAATGTAGGATGGTCACGTATTTATAAATCAAGATGAACGCTGTGGTTTCGTCGACTTAATTTTTCCAGTTAAAAGACAAGAGTTGTGTGTTACTGTTAAACACTTTTCTTTTCTCGTTAATGGAAAAGCTATAAATAATTTTAAGAAGCATTAAGACACTGGTAATACATGAAGGGTTCAATCTTTGTTCCACTGATTTCAATAATACACTACTGTACTTAAAATACTTCCTAAATAAGTATATGATCTTAGAACTCCACAATTTCAGAAAAAAAGAATAAGATATCAGTAAATCTACCACTACTAAGAGTTAGAAAGTACTAAAGAATAAGAGCACAACTAAATGTACTTTTCAAATGGTTACATTCATGTTAATTGACTCATAATTATTTAATATTTAGTAATGACAGTTTACTTACCAAGGAGATCAACTTGTAATTAACAAATAAATAATACCTTGGTAGTGGCTTCTCCTTAATCTCTACTACACATTACTTGAAGAGTCTGGACAGCGAAGTTCTGTTATGGTAGACCATCAGAGATATCAACATAACTACAAAGGCAGTCATCCAAGTCTTCCATGGAAACTGTAAAGATAATGTCATTCAATAGAGTATTGTTAAGTATTTAATACAATTAATTATTTTAAAAATTAATTCCATCACTTATCAGCTTTACTACCTGCTTGTTCTGTTACTCTTGTTATGACTTTTATTGTCCAGTGTTAGTACAGAAAACCTGCCATGTTTTATAGTGTCATACACCCTTCTCACATCACTAACAAAATAAACAATACTCACACTTTTAATGACTGGATACCGTTGGTCAGCCTGAGTCACTTCCTTCTTCAGTCCCAACATACGTCTGTACAGAGACTTCTCAGACTCAGCCTCAATGCGAGCCTTCTCCCTCATCTTGGCCAGTTCTATGTGTATGAGGCGCGATTCAGGTTCAAGTTCCAAGGCCACTTTCAGTAAGGCGATGGACTCTTTCACTTTCCCTTGTAGACCCAATGCCTATTACAACATTAAACGGTGTTACATATTTATTCTCTAAATTATCAAAACTCTTCTCTCATAAGCAGTGGCATATCATATGAAGACAATTACCACAGATAGTGTATATTCAAAAACTTACCTTCCCTTTCCTGAACAGCGCCTTTACATTATTGGGTTGACATTTCAAAACTGTGTCCAGAGATTTTAAGGCCATGTCATATGCCTCAATCTTCATCTGTGCTGCTCCCATGTTGTTTAAGGCCTTCAGTCGTTCTGTCAGTATTTCCTTCACTTCTGGTTTGATGTTATCCTGTGAACATAATTAAAATAATTATTCATGATACTGTAGTAGGAAAATGAAGACAGAACTGCTTTGAAAATTGTATTTGAATATAATCATATACTGAACTATATAATTATTATGGCTGTCAAGCATTTTCCAAGATGTTCAGTATTTTAAGGTTGATTAAGTTGTGGTTTGCAGCCACTTGGTGAAAAGACTCTGATCTACTCTATACACTGTGGCTGGAGCATTTTGTGAGATGTGCCAAGTCTGTGTTTATTTACATCATATTAAAACTCTCAGAATGACTCCCAGGAACTTCGCAATAGTAGCCAGACTAAGGATGCTAGATAAGCATTTCACAGTTGCCACATCTCAGAAAATCAACCAGCCACTATGCCATGTATAAGTGCAGGTGTCTGAACCATGTAGTGTCCACACAACTGAGTGTTTTTACCCCATACTCCTCCTGAGCATCATCAAGGAAGTCAATAGCTGCACTGTAGCAATGTATGGCCATGGTGTACTCCTCCCTGTTGAACCACCAATTTCCCCTTTCCCGCTTACGATTTCTGAAAGGGAAATATATTCCTGCCATATAGGTTGGAGAGGCACATTACACATCACAAGAAGTAACAAATATGGACTTAATAAATAACTACAGGTACGTAACCGTTCTGTAACTCAGGGTTTTGCCTATACAGGTTGTACCTCTCTAGTCCGGCAACCTCGGGACCTGACCAGTGCTGGACCATGGAAATTCACCCTTTTCCTGGATAGATAGTGACTTGAGCTTACGCTTGGAAGCACTAGCACCACTTTCTCTGCTTCATGGTCTCTTTGAAGACAAATTGAAGGATTAAATGTCGTACAGTAGCTTCTTAAATTTCGCGAGTTTTTAATTCGACATTTTCTATTTGAACACACAAAAAGCCAACACATTTAAAAATTTTGACGGCGGAAACTCGAATTTCGACGGGTTTGAACGGCCCACCAACGTTCAGACAACGTGCACAATCGTGTAAACAGCGTTATTTCTCTTATATACAAAAGATTCATTATTGTTTATTTGATTGAATTAATGTTTATGTGTGCAAAATGAGCAATACAATTCATTAATAATACGTAGAATATTAAAACACGAGGAAATGAGACAGCATTGTTTTCGTTGATTACAAAACCAGTGACTGACTGGTTCTACATATAAAACTGAAGAAAATAAGACCTTGGTTGTAGCTGTAGTAAAATTAATATGGTTGTTTCAAGTAATGTTATTTAATGTTAATAAATGGAACAATAGAAGTAGCTAACGATAATGGTAAAGAAAAAAGAGAGATCGCGTATGTAAGTGCACACACGTGAAAACATATCGTCATTACTTTACATAAGAATATGAAAGCAACACTTATTTACTGTTCATATATATTTTAATTAATGTTTCTGAATTTGTTTTTATTGAATTAATGTTTGTGTGTGCAAAATTAACAATACAATTTATTAATAATACGTGGAATATTAAAACACACGAGGAGACGAGACGGCTGCCGGCATTGTTTTTGTTAAAGCTTACAAAACCAGTGACTGATTGGTTCTACATATAAAACTGAAGAAAATAAGACCCTGATTGTAGCTGTAGTAAAATTAATGTAAAAAAATTAATATGGTTGTTTGAAGTACCTGTAATGTTATTTAATGTTAATAAATGGAACAATATAAGTAGCTAACCATTAATGGTAAAAAAAAAGTGAGACTGCGCGTATGTAAGTGCGCACATGTGAAAACATATCGTCATTACTCTACATAAGAATATGAAAGCAACACTTATTTACTGCTCATATATATTGAAGGGTTAAATGTTGTACTCTGTATAGACAAGCAGAGAGAGAGAGCAGCCGAACTGCCGGATGTAAACAAACCTCAATTTTCCGCGGCTTTGTTGTTTTTTTTTTTACGGGGATTACCCCACCCGGGCATAGGTTCACTGACCCACATTGGGGCCTGAAGGACAAAAATTTAATACTCCTGTAATAATAATAATAATTCAGATAAGTAAAAAAAAAAGAAAAAAAAAGCTGCCTATCTACCTATTGGACAAACTAAAATCGTTCCGGACCATGGGGAGTTTCCGGACCACAGAATGCTGGACTAGAGAAGTACAACCTGTATTTCCATTTATGAACTGTGGTTTTAATGGATGACCTTCTATGTTATATTGTCACAACCATGTTCATTATATCCTCTACCTTATGTTCTAACCACAGGACTTGGGAGTCAGTTCCTTATTTTATATTGAGGCTAAGAAAGTTAGACATAAAACTTTCACACTGCTTCATATTTTATCCACTGGAATAGCCCCTAGACTTGATCGTACACTATATGTCGTCTGTCTCACCATTCCCATTTTCAACTGACCATCACCAATCTGTTATTCAACATACATTCCACACAACTTTACTATATAAACTTTCATCCATTTATCTTCAAAACAAATTTAATCCATCCATTTATATCTATGATAGTTTTCTTTGGCTATAATTTTCATTCTTCTGATAACAGTGTAAAATATTTCTCATTGCCGTCGGGAATCTTAATAGCTGCATTATCAGAAAAAGACTCATCATCATGCAGGTTTCTTACATATTTCCTATACATTATCATAAGCTGGTTTAGAATCTATTCACATACTGGGTATATGTAAGCTGCAATACCTTATTCCTTCCCAGCACTTCATCATAATATACAAGCTTTTAGTACAGTACAGTGCAGTACAATAATAAAAAAAACAGAGCAACATGTGTATTCAATAAGATCAACTACAGTATAGCCAGAACCTACCCGATGACCTTGCGCTCGGCTATGGGTAATGAACAAGGTTCCTCCTCTGGTGCATAATCCACAAGTTCCACTTTGTAGGTAATATTGCTGTCTGGGGGAATATCAGGGGGAAGACCCTTGCTGCCAAAACCAAATCTGTGAAATAACAAAATACATTACAGCAAATGATGATATACCTTAAAGAGTAAAGTATTTTATAAATATATAAATGTATACAATAGACTTTCAATAGATAATGACTATAGCAAGTGATATGGTAGTATCAGCCTCTAACTTAACCAGATTTTGACAGTGAATGAAGAGTTCAAATAAAGAGTTGCAAGTATAGTAACACCATAATTTGTGTTGCAAGTAGAAAGCCCAGTAACTTAAGCCTAGTACTGTACAGTATAACGATAAATATCTGAATGAAGTTCTGTTCTTATAACAAATTAAAGAAGTTTTCAAAAATAATAAGTTGCTAATTAAAGGTGGATTAAGAATTGGGAAAAGAAAAGTGGAAACTGAATGTAGGTAACTCCCAGGGGACTGAGCCACAAACTGAGGTGTGAGGGAAGGACCTGGGTTGATGGTGAAAACCATATTTGTGGGTTGAGCCTCACAGATAGTGGCACAGTTTCTCAGTAACTAATGTGTTATTCAGATGCTTCGGTCCCCCTTTAAACCTCCCACTAACTTAATTTTCCAACTTCCTGCCACACCATCATCTTAGACCATAAAAGTTGTATTACAGTCTACTGTATGTATTATGCAAGAAACTAAAAATGACCTTGAAATAGGATGGCATTACTGTATCTACACAACAAAGACAGTACAGCACACCAGCAAAAAAGGTTCCCTCAGTACTAATGATCACGGGAGAATGATACATTACCTGGATGCAACATAAACTTCAGCAACTTCTCCTTTATCCATCAGTGGTATGACCATGTCCAGACCAATAATCACCTGTAAATTTATACATCAAGAATGAATAACTTACATTGGTAATCATGAAAACAAGAATATGAGGGCAATAAATTTACATGATTAGGCGAGTGATGGCGATTAAATAATTTGTGTACAGCAACATACAGTACGATAATACATTACACTGAAGATAATTAACTAACCTCACTATCACCGACTGTAAATGTCAGCTGTTCATGTATGTCCACTTCTTTGCCATTATCAAGTTTTCCGTGTGCACTGATCACAACAGTGCTGCCTTTAGACGGCCGCGACTCAACTATGCCGGGTGTTATCACCTGTAAGTATCAAAAAAGTCTAAAAAAGTGTTTAACTACATGATCTCTTATGTTTATCCAACACGAAGAAACTCATGAGAGAAAAATTTTATAATGTACAGTATTTAATTAAGCACACACACGAAAGAAGTAAAGTTCAGAAAAACTATAGGCGACAAGTAATTAAAAAATTTGACATGTCATTTGGGCTGGTAATTATAGATATCAAATTGTGGACAACAGATCCTTAATCAGCATGTTCAGGAGTACTTACAGTATATTGAAACTTAGAACAACTCAGTGGCTCACCTTCTTCTGAGTACTTACAGTATATTGAAACTTAGAACAACTCAGTGGCTCACCTTCTTCTTGAGGTCTCCAGTGCCCAGTATATCAATCCACTCCTCATCTGGTACATCTGACTTGCCCTCCACTTCCACCTCCTCCACCTTCTCTACCTTCACCTCCTTACTCTGGTCTACTTCAGGCATCTTCTTAGCTGATGTTGTCTGGATATAACAGTCACTGGTAAGCAGAACAACAGAACTATTACAGTATCAACAACAGAACACGGACCACAGAATGATAAAAATACTGAACAATAAAACTTGGCTAAGATAGAACCATCTTCTACCTAACGACAATAATTACCAACCATTGGTTATAAGATCTGATTGATTTTTAACAATGAGTCAGATAATCTATGGACACCCTGTAGGACTCAAAAAGCTCCATCCTGCCAAATACAAGAATTACTGTATATATAAAGGTGCTACTATAGTGTGCAGTCTACAAAGATATCTTTAGTTTACCCTACCCTACCTTACTCTAACCTAACCTAACCTAACCTACCCTACCCTACTCTAACCTAACCTTCTCTAAAAATATATACTCTACTAAAAATATTAATCATTAAGAAAATTTTGATAGTACATTTTCTACAGCATTGGAAAAACTGTAAAACACAGCCAAGTGTAAATAAGTTGTAGACCGAACACCATAGTATAAATATGTTGTAGGCTGCACACTACTGTAGCACCCACAAACACTACTGTACCTCACATTCCTTTTATGATCATCATCTTTCTGAGTACCGGTAAAAAAAAAAAAAAAAAATATCATCCACTTCTCTCACCTGCAGGAACTTGGTCAGTCCTCTTTGCTGTCTACCACCACAGAGTCACAGTTCTCTTCACCTTCCGGGTTACTTAAGGTTTTTTTCCATATGAGTTAGTAGCAAGGTAGTTTGTAGGGCCTCGTTGTTTCTTTAATCTTTTTTCTTTAACTCTTCATGGTGATTTTCTCTCTCTTGATTATAATGCTGAAAAAATACAGTAAATACAGCACTTTATTAATCTATGTTTTGTTTACTATCTGATAAAATGTGTTCAGTTCAGGGCGGTCCGACTAATTACCCAAATGTACCCAAATGTAGCCGCAATGCAGTCAAATAATGGTCCTACATGAATAAATCGGACTGCCAACCACTTCTCGACTAGTATTTGGTGTCACAGTCACAAAAAATTGGAAAAACTTAATTTAAACTGAGTCAATAGATCGCGTGCTTGTACCGAGGGAGCGAGTAATTACCCAAATGTACCCAAATGTAGTTGCAATGAAGTCAAATGATGGTTCTACAAGCGTAAATCAGGCTGTGAGTCACTTCTCGATTATTATTTGGTGTCATAGTCACAAAAAATTGGTAAACTTAATTTAATCTGAGTTGGGTTAGGTTAGGTACATGCACTCGATCTATTAACTCAGATTAAATTAAGTTTACCAATTTTTGGTGACTTCGTGACACCAAATACTAGTCGAAAAGTGATTGGCAGTCCGATTTATTCATGTAGAACCATCATTTGACTTCATTGCGGCTACATTTGGGTACATTTGGGTAATTAGTCGGACCCGTTCAGGGTAATACTGAAGACAGTATCACACGCTAACCAGAAACTTAAGGAAATATTTCTATACCAAAGAAGATAAATGCATCCCCTCATGAAAATCCCATAAGTGATGAGGATTTGTAATATACTAAATGTCATATTCACTATTCATATTTAGTTGTTTTTTTTTTTACAGAGATTAGCCCACCCAGACAAAGATCACTGACCCACATTGGGGTCTGGAAGGGCGAAAAAATTTTTTTTAACTATAAATAAATACAGAAATAGCAAAACTAAAACAAATCAAGAGAAACGATATACTGTATGTTGTGTTGTCAAAGTAAGAGAAACAATTGAAACCCTGCAATTGTGTGTAAATGAGGCAGACAGTCAGTCAGATCAGCAACCTGGGACTTGATTACAATTTTAGTGATGCCATATGACAGCAGGGTCTACCATTAGACAATTAATTATTCTAAGTCTTTCATTTCAGCCATAGAAATGCTTCCAAAAAATTAAAAGAATTTTTGGATATAAAATAAACCATCCTTACTTATCTGTCCTGGGTTACATTAGGTAGGTAAGTTAAATTAGGTAGCATTAGCTAGTAACATGTTGTTTTGTGTAAGTGTTGGTGTGTAAGAAAAGGATTGAAATAAAATACTCTGCAATATTAACACTGAAAATAGAATCACCGTGAGTTCGTGTATTGACGTATATTAGTGTTCAGGATGAGATAAATGGCAAATATATTATTACTAAAATTACAAATCTTCATCATTTTATGGAATTTTAATAGGGTAAGAAAGCTTTTATGTTCTATATAGAAATGTCCTAAGTTACTGGTTAATATGCATCACTGTTCAAGAGTATTACCAGATATGTTCACTCTGGCACCTGACCACACACAAAAAAACATTAAAATTATTAATCATGAAAATTCTTGTCTTAAAAATTCACTTTCTGACAGCATATCATTAGACCTTTACTTCCATCAACTTACTAACTCATTTTACCAGGTCTTAGCATGCCATACTATAAAACCTTATCCACCTTGATGAAAAAACAAATGTAGACTCTCCTTAACCTGTAACTAAATCTGATTATCAAAGAGATCTTAAATTACCTGAATATTCATCAAGATGTAGAATGAAAACATGTAAGCTTTGGTCAATCATTAACGATCATTACCAGAAAATTCCTCGTCTGGGTACAGCTATAGGCCTCAACCACCTGTATGCCACACCACCTCATTCACACATCAGTTACCATAATACAGAGGTTGACACTATGAATGGCGTTAACGTACTTATCTCTACTGGAAAGATGAAATGGAGGTAGCGGGGTTAGTAAGATGAGAGTAGTGGAGTATGACGAGTGTTGACGTGTGTCAGCTGGACCTCCTCCTCCCGGTCCTCCCGCTGACCCCGGCTTAGGCTCCACACTGCCCCGCCCTCACCGTGTCTTCCTTCATTTGTGGAGGATCAAGTAACTTTTACTGTGTCACCAACTCTCTCTGAATTCATTTTTGGGATATTCTCAATTCTAAACGATAATAAGTTATACATGATAAGTTCACGATCGTTTTAACAGTATAAAAAGTCTAGTAATCAGAGTACGTAATTAACATCAGATAAGATCGATGGATCAGCTCAGGGTGATGGAGGTCACTATACTAGTTCCCCGTTGTTACTGCTCTCATTGGTGTGTGGAGACAACAGGTATAAACTCGTAGAATAGTTATTCACATTTGCAGCCAACGGGCTTAATGATGTGGCAATTACTTATCCTCTTTCCACTTCAAGGGTACCTGTAAGCTTACTAACAGGTTGGTCAGTTCTCTCTTGTACAGTACAGTACATGTTCAGACATGACTATACTTGCACATCTCATAATGTGTTATACGTCTGGGCGTGGGCTTTACCCAACAACAACTCTCTTGTTATACAATTTCTGTGGATTCCATCATAATTGTCAACTCGGGTTAAGAAGAGTCGGTCCCGCCCACCTGGTACGATGTCCTCCGTAAACTTCCTGACCTCTCGTACGTCTACGGGAAAGGGTCGCGGAAAGGGGACGTGATTGCTGCCCGTATCATCATTGGGTATGACTTTGCTTGGGAGATTGGTATCCCCGCATCCCCTGAGCAACGCTCTTGTGCATTATGCAGAAGACCCGACAGCAGCACCCTTATCCACTACCTCCTAAGATGTCCCCACACACAACGCTTCCGTGACGCCTGCTGGACCACCACTCCACGACCCCTGACGGAGACACGATGATCCTCCCCATACTGGCCAGATATTTTGTAAATAATATTGATTATGTGTTAAAGGAATATCCTTCCTTCCTTAGGCTTTAGTAAGCCCCTTTATAATATTTATACTGTATATACTTGTCACACTTGCCAGATGCTTCTGGTGTCATTGTACAGGGGTACCTAGTGACAGCACTAGGATCCCGCTTCCTCTATCAAGGAATAAACAATTGAAATTGAATTGAAGAGTCGGTGTTGTGGACGTCCAGATGTTGAGAAATTATTTAACATTTGCAGATGTCGTACGTCTTGTCTGGCAGGAACAGGAGGAATTGTCAGTGGCAGAAGGAAGTTAAGAGTGTTATGTGAAGGTGATAGTGACAAGTGAAGGTGACAAGAGCAGCTGATAGTGACAGGAAGAGTGGGCATTGACAGATGACAGTGACAGGAGAAGTTGAAAGTTGACAGGATAAAATGACAGCACACAAAGGCAGCTAGCAGTGACAGGAAGGATTGACATCAGCCAGGAGGAATCAGGAGGTCATGTCAAGACAACTGGGTGAAGCTCACGTCCTCGCTGTCAACTTTTGCATTGTATACAGGTAAGTTACTGCTATTTACTGTAACTTTTACCTTTATTTACCTGTGTGTTGTAATAACCTTATAACGACAACGGTAAATATTATGAGACACGCCTCTCTTGTTTTTGCCAGGTTAACCAACATTCATATCTCAGAAGGTGAGGAAATTTATGTACTTTTTACTTATACTTTTATCCTCTTCGCCACTGATCGGCTCGTTAGCCGCTTGGGCGATCGGTCACGTCTCTGATTACTTTTCCTTTTCATTTATCCTCTTCACCAAAAGATCGGCTCGCTAGCCGCCCGGGCGATCGGTCACGTCTCTGTCACGCACTGTTGGCAAATACTGGGCATGCACCGGCTCCTGAATGTACCTGAACCCGCTCCAGTGTTGGTCAAGTCTTGTCTTGAAAGAGCTCACACTCGGTGTCGTCACAACACTCTCTGGTAGATTGTTCCAAGAGTTTACAACCCTCACTCAGAAAAAGTTTGCCCTCACAGTTTTCTAGACTTGTGGCTTCTTCAATCTTGAGCTGTGACCCCATGTGGAGCGAGCGTCCGCCAGCTCCAAGTAAGGACACTCGACTGAGTAGTGCCCCCTGAGATGCTTATACACCTCAACTAGGTCACCCCTTGCCCGTCTGCAATATAAGCTAGGCAAGTTCAGGCGCTCCAATCTCTCAGGGTAGCTGAGGTGCCGAAGTGCAGGCACCAGTCTGGTGGCCCTCCTTTGAACATTTTCAACCAACTGACAGTCCTTAGCGTATCTCGGGGACCAGACGGGGTGACAGTGCTCCAGATGGGGGAAGCACTTCACTCTTAGGGATCGTTACGAGGAACGGACCGTCTAGGTATCTGAACGACCTTCTTATAAGACCCAATAATTTATTTGCCTGGTTTACTTCTTCTCGCAATGGCCCGAGAACTTCAGCTCATTGTCAACATACACACCTAGGTCCTTCTCGCATTCAGTCTCAACTAGTGCAGTTTCTTCATCCTGTTGGGACATATGATACGCCTCCTTACCGTTGGTACCCCGCTTGTGACAGGTACGGATGACGATTTCGTGCCATTAATCACCACACATTGCTTGCGGTCATGTAGAAAGTCTTCCATCCATGCTAGGACATTTCCCCGAATTGCGTACCCTTCCAGTTTGATTTTCAGCCTTTCATGGGGTACACTGTCGAAAGCTTTTATTTTTGTAATAAAAATGTATTTTGTCATTGGTAAAAAAAGAATTGTGTAGATAACTAGGAGAGTGTGGCTCCAACCTTAATAAACCAAATGTAAGTAAAAGCTTGGACGGTGGGTTCACCTGATGAGACTACAGAGCGGCGGTGACAGTGACAAGTGTAGTTGTTATTCATATCTCACAGACTGTGAGGATATTTATTTATTTTTTCATTATTTCACACGTTTTTAATTTTTGTAATAAAAATGTATTTTGTTTATTGAAAAAAAAAATATTGTCTAGAAAACAAAGTGTGGCTCCGTTGTGTTGTGGTACTGCACCTCAAACTCTATAAACTTTTTTTTTCTTACTTTTATCCTCTTCACCACTGATCGGCTCGTTAACCGCTTGGGCGATCGGTCACGTCTCTATAACGCACTGTTGGCAAGTACTGGGCATGCACTGGCTCCTGAATGTATCTGAACCTGCTCCAGTGTTGGTCAAGTCTGGTCTTGAAAGAGCTCACACTCGGTGCCGTCACAACACTCGCTGGCAGATTGTTCCAAGAGTTCACAACTCTCACTCCGAAAAAGTTTGGCCTCACAATTAGTAAATATTGGGCCACAGTGAAAACTACAGCACAGCGTTTTACGGCAAGATAAACTGTTTTACGGAAGTACTGACAGACATCAAGTTCAATGTTGACGTTATAATGTATTACGGGCACGCTTAATTTAAGTTTAACAAATTTATTGGCAAAGCTTGTAGTACAGTTTGCCTATTCTGAGTAATTCAGTCAGGTCTTGACACTGAGGATGGTATCACTTCTCACTGCCACGCAGGACAGAGGTTCATACACAAAGAAATACACGCGGTTTGTGTTTTGTCCTCTTCGCCACTGGGGGTTAGCCAACCCGAACCCGGGGACAAGTCATCAACCCACAGTGGGGCCTGAGGGGCGGTCGGTCGGTCACGTCACTGTTATGCATTTTTACTTTAGAGACTATATACCTTAGTCAAGGCATATACAGTTAGCGCAGGGGCGTATCCAAGAAGTTTTGGGTGGGGGAACATGGCGCACTTGATATTAGGAGATATTCTGAAGTCAATAGGAAATACTTTTTGCTCTCCAAAAATGCCTGAGTACAATACTGCATTAAAGAAAAAGTATTGTAATTTTCTGGTAAAAAAGAGGAGTCCGGACCCCCAGGATCCGCCCTCGAGGCGCATAGTCTAGGTCTGTACATACACGACATACTGTAGTTATCAACGTAAATGTGTTATGGGCACTGCCATTAACCCATGCTAAAGTATTAAACGCTTGCCATGAAGTAGTTAAAACCATCGTTCTCAAGCGATTAACCAATTGTCCTCAAAGGGATAGACAATCGTCTTCAAGAGGTTAAGAGGCTCTGTGTGTCCCCTTAAGTTCATAACTCCTAGAGAAAAAAGAAACAAAACCGGAAATAGTGGAGTAAGTTAGATTAAGAATGTACAGTATATTCATAACACAATGAAGTAGGTCTGGTAAGTTCGTCTACAGTATTGGCTAATGTTGCTATTTTGTCAAACTTATTAATTGTTAATTGTTATTAACCACTGATTCGTTTTTATTAATATGTTGTTTTAACTGTGAAATGACGGTGAAACTCTTCTCGGTTACTTGTCATTATCCGTCTGGTCCCCGAGGTATGCTAGAGATTGTCAATTGATTGAAAATGTCCAAAGGAGGGCCACCAGACTGGTGCCTTCTCCTGGAACCTCGGTTACCCAGAGAGATTGGAGCACCTGCAACTATCTAGCTTATAATACAGACGGGCGAGGGGTGACCTAATCGAAGTGTATAAACATCTCAGGGGGCACTACTTTGTCGAGAGTACATACCTGGAGCTGACGGACTTCCACCCCACAAGGGGTCACACCTCAAAGTTGAAGAAGCCACAAGTCCAGAAAACGGCGAGGGCAAATTTTTTCGGAGTGAGAATTGTGAACTCTTGGAACAATCTGCCGGAGAGTGTTGTGAAGGCACCGAGTGTGAGCTCATTCAAGGCCAGACTTGACCAACACTGGTGCAGGTTCCGATATATTCAGGAGCCAGGCATGCCCAGTATCTGCCAACAGTGCGTAACAGAGACGTGACCGACCGTCCAAGTCGCTAACGAGCCGATTAGTGGTGAAGAGGATAAAAGTAAAAAGTAATGACAGTGCGTTTGGTATAAATTAAATTTACTAATGTCCCCCCATCAATAGGTTTTCTATAATTTTTTCAAAGAAAACTGAAGTTTTTGGGGGAGTTCCTGAAGTAATTGTTAAGTTTGACCTTTTTTTTCTTCACGTTTCGATATCTCGGATAAGCATTCTCGCTACTTCTCCAGGTCCACGGTGCCTGGAATCAAGATCAAACACAGATTTGTCATTTAATCATTCATATTACTAAGTTAACAGTTAGTGTGTTCT